AAGAAATGAATGCAAGGTAAAAAGTGCAACAATTCTGACTAAACCGTGCATAAGGAACTAGATGAGATTATGAATTAATAATATCTGTTATTGTTTTCAAGACGCTAAACTTAAATATTTAAATACGGCTTCATTTAGGGGTTTAGAGAGGGCTGGAAAACAAACCACTGTATCCCCTCTTCCCCTNGTTAATCCTTCGGCCAGAGATCTCTAACAGGCCCTACCCCACCTACCTCGCCTAGCAGCCTTATCTATTGCTGTCCATCCTCTGGCTGACCAGCTAACGCCCCAGCTGGCCGTGCGACTGGGAATTGGCGGGAGTTAAAATCTCAAGGGTGTTATGATGAACGATCTAAGAAGCAGTCACTCTCAGGAACAAAAGATGCTTTCCCAGCCGTGGGACAAGATCGCAGGAAACCAGAACCTGTGGATCGACGGCTGTATAACAAAGATCACAAGAACTTATGGAAACCCAACCCTATGGATCTTGGTGGAGAAGAGCACAGGAAACCCGAACCTGAGGACACTGTAGTAGCAGTATATCTACATCGCTTTAGTTCTTTGTTTCTTTTATTTGTTTCACTTTTAATAAAAATGTTCAATTATTTTTTTCTTTTATTAGTGCGTGATTTGATGATGTACTAGAATATTGTTACCCCCCTTTGAGTAGAGTATTTAATTTCATATTTAACAACACAAATAACAACATTCTCCTTAATTTCTCGTTTTAAATTGCCCTTGAAATATTATAGACTTAAAATTGTTGAACTATTAAACTTACCCCCCCCTCCCCCCCCCCTCTTCGTAAATCGAAAACCAAATAGTTTTACTGTGTCCTTAAACATTCTTCTTTGAGAATGGAAAAAGTGTATTTTTTTCAATCGTATTGGGAAACTATAAGAATTTTCCAGGGTGGTTCTGTGGGAAAAATGAAAGACACATAATCTAATTTACGCCATACCTAGATGGGATGGCTTATTTCAAGCACAAACAGATTTTAAAAGTAGAGTTTAAAAATGCTAGAATTCAGTATTTTAGAAGAAAAATATCACAAGGATGAGCATTTGGAGGCAAATAGATTATCAAGTACAATAGGTGGCAACAGATAAATGTACCAATTATACGCGACGCCACAAGTGTCAAATATAACAAGGAAAACGAAATTGTCTCACATTAGTTGACATGTTTTCCAAGATTAATAAAAAAGAGTAAAAACAGAAATTAAAGAACACATAAAATTGCACATATTTTACTGTAAGAAAAGAACTTTATTCTAAAATTATCACTATTATTGATAATTTTGTCGGACACAAAAACTGAATTGACACTTGTGACGACAGAATACAACTGTACAGAGAGTGTACAAATTCTACGTTGCCATCTATTGTACTTAACAATCGATTTGATTTGGAGGTGGCTCGGATGAGAAAATGGGGAGAATAGGGCTCGGACGAACAATTATTCGAACATTTGTCGTAATTTTATACATTTACTTTTTTAATAAAACTTCTAAAATTTTACGCTGTTTTTATCAAACTTTGGCAATGTTTTATCCTTATTTCTATCATGGTCAGAACTTGGCATAGCATAAGAAAAGCAACTGTATTAAAGGAAAACAAAAACGAAAGGAACAATTATGAGAGATTATTATTAGATATTTTTTTTTTAAATTTTAAATAATGCATTAACAAAAGATATTTTATAATTTTATGTCACAAAAATTAAATCTAAACAGAATATTTTGGTTTCTTGAACAATAGTGTATGTAATGTATTTGAAGCAAATATTACAAATAGATATTATTAGCTGGAGGAGCTGGAGTACCCTGTGTTGCCCAGGTTTTTTTAATTTCATTTATAGTCATAGCTACTCCTGCCGTTTACCCGCGCTTGGTATTAAATCGTGAATTGCTCATGGAATTTCTAAAATTAAAACAAGATTTTTCCGCTGGGCAAATATATATACAGGACTAGTCAAAAAGGGTGAATAGTGAGATCTTGCATATAATAAAGCATTTTTTGGTAATTTCAATCTTAATAAATAACTTTAGTTCCGCACGCCTAATTCTGTTGCATAAAACGCGCAGGGTCAATCATATACCGGGTACACTAGACGGGCTGGTACGAGTAATTAATACACCAGGCAAGTATCTGGTTCGAATCATGCAAATTTTAACGTGATGTGCATAACCGTATTTTCTTTAAACCAATTTTTGCAATTTTTCAATGATTTTTTTTAATGTTCAGTAATCAATATGCTTCAGAATATTTCAAACAACTTTAAGCGTAATTTCAGGTGACCCTCCATGTAATAATGCGTATCAGTAGGAAAGCTCCAAGGAATATGAAATAGGGAGACAACTGACGCGGCCCGCCCTACCATATGATTATGCAAGCTTTGCAGACGGGTCCTCCATTTATAAATGAACTATTCAGAATAGGTTATTGTAAAAGCGGTAATAGTTCATCAGAAAAATATTTCTTATTCCATACTCCTTGCACTCCGTGCAAAATGGAAATGCCTGATTAACAACGGTACCCTTGAAACATTTTCTTATCAATTATGTGGAAAATGTTTTTTTTTCTCTGCTATGCTTCGAAATTTGCACGATTCATTAATGTAGAGAACCCACAATTGAAAATATCCAGTTTTCAAAATTACAAACATTGATATCTAATTTTTACGAACTTGATCAGACTAAGCTTTAAATCGTGCATTGCCATGTCTATGCATCGAGGATCACTTGAAATTACGCTTACACTTACAGTCCCTATAACCTTTCAGTCCCTTTAACCTTACAGTCCCTTTAACCCTAAGTCCCTTTAACCTTACAGTCCCTTTAACCTTACAGTCCCTTTAACCTTACAATCCCCTTATCCTTACAGTCCCTTTAACCTTACAGTCCCTTTAACCTTACAGTCCCTTTATCCTTACAGTCCCTATAACCTTACAGTCCCTAAAAAGTTGATAAAATCTGTTTTGTTTAAAGAATAAAGAGTAAAAAATGTTTAAATACAAAATGTTTTTTTATTGTAATTGCAATCTGTTCTGAGCTGGGAACTTTTGAATGGTGGATATCGGGATTAATGCTTGAGCCACTCTTTTTCTTAATCTCGAGATTAAATAATGCTTGTTCTCCTCTTGTTCTTAATTTCCAGATTAATTAACCGATCGGGACTAAAGGGACTGTACAGGAAAAATGAAAGGGGGTATAGGATAAAACCTGAGAATCTCAGGCATTGAACGATACATATAAGACATCTATCTGATGTTTCTGTCTCGAGAAATTGATATAAAATTGTGTCAAAATTATATCCAATTTTATCCCACAGAAACCTGAAAATCTCATGTTAGCTCCCATTATAATTTTCTATTTTTATTTTGCATTTTTAATAGATATAATTGATAATATTATTTATCTGTATTACGTCATAAGAACTCCCACCAATGAGAGTGCAGTATACTGGTCACGTGATACAGACGGAAATCACGTTACGAGTATACTGCACTGCCATTGGCTGAAGTTCTGATGACGTAATACGGACTATATGTAGAAATATTATCAATTAGATCTATTAAGAATTAAAAATAAAAATTAAATAATTATAACAGGAATAAACCTGAGATTCTCAGGTTACTGTGGGATATCGTCGTTTTCAGATTGGTTGCGTATTTGTGGAATATGATCTGTTTAATACTACAACTTTTATACAAATTGCATATAGTATTTTAGAAGAAAAATATCACAAGGATGAGCATTTGGAGGCAAATAGATTATCAAGTACAATAGGTGGCAACAGATAAATGNTTGTCTGTCTGTTTCTTCGTCAGATCATAACCGATTTGCCTCTAATTTTGATTGGGGAACTCGGGAAAGCCACGGGAATGTTCTAAGCTTGGCTTTGAGGTTCTAAGTTGAGTGGGCCCACTTTTATCCGGAAAAATAGCTCAAATCGAGATTTATTATAATAAGGGACTAACTATGAATCTCCGGGTCCACGCTGAGTTCCTTAAGATAGTACAAAGATATACTAAAGGCTAGAATATGCGATATTTGCAGGTTCTGTTGTGTACAACTGTTGTACATAAACAATAAACAAATGTCTGTACTCAGAGATATTTAAGGATCTTTTGGGTATACGAAATACAAAACCTTCAAAAATAGACTAAATTGATAAATTTAATGTTTTATGTTAAAAGTTAGAGTATTTCTTTAAAAATAGTAAAAGTTAACCCCTGAATGGGTATTATGTCGTGCTGGTACCAATACAGGAATTTAACACAGTAAAATGTGGAACAAAAATTGTAATTGGTTTTAATGTTTCAATAATGTCAAAACAGCATTTTAAAATTTCTAATTCCAACAAGAAGGTTAGAACGTATAATGTTAAATTTTTAACTATTATTTCAATAGAAAATGCACCGCAAAGCAAGGACTATTTGTAGAGTGGAAGGGAGGGAGGGGGGTAAAATAAAAGGACTATTTGTCTACTTTTAGAGGTTTTTAAATATTTTCTCCTGAAACACTTTATTTTGTATGTTTTTGTTATATTTCATAAATAAATAATTTTTTACTTTTACTTACTTTACTTACTAGAAATTTTAAGCCATTTTTGTTCAATGAAAGGAGTTCTGGTGAAAACGTACATGTAAGATTCAAATATACTAAGGCAATTTAGTTTGACGTGAAATTTGAAACTTAAATGGACTGATAAGTGGATTGTGGAAGCTCAAGTGACCCTCCATGCAAATTCAGCTGCGTGGTGCGTTGAGTTAAGACTGAACTCTCTACGCAGTGCACACCGGCATTTTCAGCTGATCATACAAGCAGATTCAGAAACGTTTACACCCACATCTCTGTACTTGACAAACACAAAAGGGTTTAAGGGTACCATTGTAAATCAGGCACTCCCCTCTTTGCATGAAGGTTCACTTGAAATTACGCTTCAAGTCCTTTCAGACAAATTTATTTAATTTTGACATGGATTTTGAAACTTAACCTTTATGATTGCCAGCATCCTCACAATAGCTTGGGCCAAGTGTAATGATGTCGTTACAAGGCCTAGGTACATCGCTAGAATCCCAGACAGTACAGCAACAGGGTAGGATAGGTAACTTAACACTGACATCCACATGCATTCAACGCACTTGAAAAATGAAAAAATTAATTATTTTATTCAAGCCCCAGTATACGTTCAGCTTTCAGAGAAGTAGCGGTGACTTTTTATTTGTCCAACCTGTAAGAAAATATCTCCATTTCACATCTTACAGAAAATATTGAGGACTATGTGCTTGAAGGCCTGACCTGAATGTCAGACATTCCTGGATAAGCAATAAAACTGAAAATTGCAAATACATCTGATATCTACTTAAATACTACAATATTAGGGAGAAAGAAAATCAGAAATATTTGTCAAAATGTCTCTTGTCTACAAGGGATTAGAATACGTAGATCTAAAACAGATGAATTTCTTCAAAAATATTAACAGAATCTTAGCAATGTTCCGTTAATATCTCTAAATCTCTGTTATTCTATNAAGGATATGAGATTTGAAAATGCCAATATTAAACTGTGTGTCTTAAATTTTCTGTTTGCAAGGATATGAGATCAGTCTATATATATCATGTGTATGTGTAACTCGCATCCTTGAAAGAAGGACATGATTCCAAATTACCCCCCCATCCTTGAAAGAAGGATATGAGATTTCAAAACGCCAATATTAAACTGTGTGTCTTAAATTTTCTGTTTGCAAGGATATGAGATCAGTCTATATATATCATGTGTATGTGTAACTCGCATCCTTGAAAGAAGGACATGATTCCAAATTACCCCCCATCCAACTCCACCTATCTGTCCTCACCTTACCTAACCTTTTTTGACAAATAATACAATTTTAGGTAAAAATACACATTGGTCAGAAGACCTTGGGTTAATAAACCCCATAAGTCAGAAAAGCGGCTGCCTTCTAAATTTTATTTGAGAAGGGAATCATGGCAATAAGTTTGCCAGCTATAAAGAACTTTTATGACTGGTTCGTTTTTAAGTTCCTTCATGCAAATATCTTCTCTCAGTGTTAACGTTTTATATGACATGTTTGAAAAAAAATTTTGAAATTTTTTAAACAATTGTTAAAATTTTGTTGAACCTTTTATAAGTCCTGAAACCTTAAAAGTATTAAAAAATCAAATACGAAAAACTGTTTAGTTTCTAAATTTGTTTTATTACAGAAGACATTAGTTAAAAACTAGGAATATTTTAATTTAAAAATTATTACATTTTTGTTCTTTATTCTCCATATATTTACAAATATTATGTGAAAAACTAGATACTTGAAATAATTCAGCAGTTAATTTAATCTTTATAAGAAGGTTTTCTTTTTATAGATTTAATTTTGTAAGTTATAAAAGTAAGTTTTGTTTTAAAGGAATTGAGTCTTTCATCTAACAGAATTCATTGGGTTGCAAAGATAAAGAGATTAGAAAATCATAGTTTGTGACAAAGACTCAATTCTTTTCCAATTAAAATCAAACAAGAATTGGTGTAAAAGTGTTTTTTTAACTCAAAACATGACAATGATTCTAATTCGTTACAAAACAATACTTAATCCTAACTTTGCTCAGGAGCCATTTAATTTACCAAAACCATGAGATGCATAAAGGCATATCAAATGGTCCAATGAGTCTTCGCATAAATCTTTACGTAGAAATACAATAATATCCCTATTTAAGTGGATGGTTACCCAGAGTCCAAATTTAAAGAATTTGCACCGCGGTTTAAATTTGAGACGCAGCTCAAATATGGTTGATTTCACTTAAAATTGAATTCAATGTTTCAAGACTTAAGCCGGCGCTCAATAGAAACCGATTTTTGGCGGATTTGAGACGCGGGTCAAATTCATTAAATCGGACTCTGGGGTTCAAATTCTGTAAACAAAAATTATGTATAATCAGAGCACAAAATCTCAATAAGTTTTTTACTTCAGGTTTCATTTCTTTAAAATGTTTAAGCTTAAAATGGGCTGTGAGGGTGCAGGAACAACATATATCAGCCTTACATTGAATTCCCCTTCAGGATTAAAATCCTTGAGGGTTGGAAATTTCGACTCATTCATCGAAAAATCTAATTCAGATACGGGTTGCAGGGCAGCGGTAGATATGCCTTTTCCAGACTGCAGGGCAGGGGTAGATACGCCTTTCCCAGACTGCAGGGCAGGGGTAGATACACCTTTATCGAGCTGTAAAGCAGACAGTACTACTCTTAGCTGTAAGGCAGACGGTAATACTCTTGGCTGTAAGGCAGACGGTACTACACCTGGCTGTATGGCAGACGGTACTACTCTAGGCAGTACGAAAGATGGTACTACTCTTTGCTGTAAGGCAGACGGTACTATTCTTGGCTGTAAGGCAGACGGTACTACGCTTGGCTGTATTGCAGACGGTACTACTCTTGGCTGTAAGGCAGATGGTACTAATCTTGGCTGTAAGGCAAACGGTACTACGCTTGGCTGTATGGCAGACGGTAGAACTCTTGGCTGTAAGGCAGATGGTACTACTCTTGGTTTTAAGGCAGATGGTACTACTCTTGGCTGTACGGAAGATGGTACTACTCTTTGTTGTATGGCAGACGGTACTAATCTAGGCTGTAAGGCAGACAGTACTACGCTAGGCTGTATGGCAGATGGTACTACTCTTGGCTGTAAGGCAGACGGTACTACTCTTTGTTTTAAGGCAGATGGCTGTAAGCTAGACGGTACTATTCTTGGCTGTAAGGCAGATGGTACTACTCTTGGTTTTAAGGCAGACGGTACTACTCTAGGCAGTACGGAAGATGGTACTACTCTTTGTTGTAAGGCAGACGGTACTAATCTTGGCTGTAAGGCAGACAGTACTACGCTAGGCTGTATGGCAGATGGTACTACTCTTGGCTGTAAGGCAGACGGTACTACTCTTTGTTTTAAGGCAGATGGTACTACTCTTGGCTGTAAGGCAAATGGTACTACGCTTGGCTGTATGGCAGACAGTAGAACTCTTGGTAGTAAGGCAGATGGTACTAATCTTGGCTGTAAGGCAGATAGTACTAATCTTGGCTGTGAGGCAGACGGTACTAATCTTGGCTGTAAGGCAGACGGTACTACGCTTGGCTGTGAGGCAGACGGTACTAATCTTGGCTGTAAGGCAGATGGTACAACTCTTGTCTGTAAGGCAAGCGGTGCAACTCTTGGTTCAACCAATCCTATTCTTGAAACAGATTTAACTGCATCTGTAACACCTGTAAGAGATTCTGCAGTCGTTGGACTGATGGTCTGTCCCGAAGAGAGCTCATCCATCTCTATTTTAAATGTATTATCAGCAACCTGTTCATTTCTATCATTAGCTTCTCCAGCTGTAGCAGCAGATATGATGTTGTTTCTACCTGCCGTTGGAACCACAACCGCCGTTTTTTTAAACAAAAAATGTAGAACTGAATGAGGGAAGACTTCTCTACTCACCAAATAACGTTTGATAAATGCAGTAACCCTAGGATTGCTTGAATGTCTGAAGTTTATCAAGGTCAAGATCGAAGCTATAAATATTGCTGATACTGGAGTATCATCCTTGTAGTTCAGTTGGAGATAGAGAAGTGATAAAATCAAACCTCCTCCCAGTAAAATTGCTGCAATCAATTTCTTGAAATCAATTAGATTTTGATTCAGATTTCTCTCTGCTCTGTCAAATCTATGATTGTGGTGTTTGTTGAGATACACTTTATTGAAAGTATAGGAGAACAGCATTCCTATCAGAGTAAGAGATACATTCCCAGCATGCATTATTGTGTAGTTGTTAATACCGGCACTTCGAGGCATTCCCGTGAGGATGGCAAGATGTAGAGAAATATATTCTGAAAAAAAAAAAATTATTTTTTTTCCAAAATTTGTGTCCACTTGTCTACATAGTTTTTTTTTATTCATTTCAGTGTCATTTTTCATTTTGTTAGAGATAGATAAAAATAAAACAAAAAATAGAAAATCGTCCAAAACTTTTTAAAAACTGTACATTTGCAAAAATATTTCAAAATAATGGAAAATCCTGCAAAAATCTCGGAAGTTTTCCACATAAAGTCAACCTACTCAACTTGAAATTTTTAAACCACACAAAGAACATTCCCGTGGTTATGCCGAGTTTCCAAATCAAAATTTATGGCAAATTGTTACAGGAATTCATGAGAGTTATGAACTTATGATTAGGACATCTAAACAAACAGACAGACGTACACCCAAACACTAAAAAGAGATTTTCCAAAAATTCTTCCTTGGTTTGTTGGTTTGGGGAGTAGCCTGGGTTCTGACGTATACTGTTGATTTTTCTGTCTTTTTTAAATGGACTTTTATCTTTCTCCTGAAGTAATAAAAAAGGCACTTTTTATAAAAATAACATCCTGTAGATTTGTATTTACCTGTATGTTGAAGAACTGGAGAGGGAATGATTAACCAGTGGAAGGTAGAAAGTGTAGATTTGTATTTACCTGTATGTTGAAGAACTGGAGAGGGAATGATTACCAGTGGAAGGTAGAAAGTGTAGATTTGTATTTACCTGTATGTTGAAGAACTGGAGAGGGTATGATTACCACTGGAAGGTAAAAAGTAAGAGATACAAGAAGAACAATTCTTCCAATTCTCTTTGGATCCAATTCCATCATCTTGTGAAACTAAACAATCTATATTACAAAAAGAGAATATGCAAAAGGGGTCATCTGACTTTAATAAATAATTAACTCTCACAATGAAGGCCGTATGCATGTTGAAGTGAGAAATTTGTAAGTCATTTATTAAAAGAAAACTCTTGAAAATAGAAATTTGAATATATCATTCCTTCTTAATGAACAGTCCCTTTAAAGAACAAAAGTTGTTAAAACTGAACGCTAAGAACCGTAAAATTGCTTGTTCCCTTTTATGCCTAATCCAGCCAAAACAACAACTTGCATTTTTTAGATTTAAAGGGAGTGTTCGCGAAAATATTCAATAGGGATTGTTACTAATCTTACTTCTATCTGCTGTGTCTAAAATGAGAAAATTGTTAAAAACGACTCATACCGAAGAACTAAACATTCATAAAAATTCAGAAAGTTGCAATTTTAAACTTGGATAGTAAAAAATCC